AGGCCAGAATAAAGTAAGAACGCCCCCCACAAAAGAGCATGCATTCAGCATAGCGTCCGTGGCCACAAAATGGACATATAGTGTCCGGATGAGGAGGGTGCCTGCAGTCAAGAACGGAGGGACAATCCTGTACACACATGGATGCAGAAACCATCTCGTGGTAGTGATTGTGACAAAGATGATGGCAAATATACACCCAAGTGCAACAGTGTCTGTGGCTGTGCAAAGGAGAAGGTCACACAGTGTCTGTACATTGTACTGCTGCACTACGGTGCCAGAGGAATGATCTTCGACATAAAGGAGGTTGCGGACAGTTTGATGTATATATTGTCACAGAACTATTCACTAAGACCGCAAGCACGTGAAGTAGAAGGAGAAATAAGATGAGCGAAGAAAAGAAAAATGAAAGGATAGACAGGCAAAGAGACAGACAAACCAGAATGACACAAAACAATGTCCTCTTATTCTTCGTTTCACTGTATCCTGAAGAAAGGATAAAAATAAAAAACAAAAGCACATTGAAATCATTCAGTTTCTCAGTCTTCTTAACGCCTCCTCCACCGTGCCTCTAACGTACAAGGCTCGCCACGTTGATGAAGTTGAGCGCTAGCTGCCCCCATCCCCGTATGCCATAACAGCCCACTTGCAAGCTATGGGAAAGAGGCAGAGTGAAGGAAGAGGTGTTAAACACAAGGACGAGAGGAGCAGACAGGGTAACCAGCAGGCAGAGGGAGAAAAAACAAAAATAAAAATAAAAAACGTTGACACAAACACCTTCTTTCTTTTACTGCGTTCTTCTTTCTTGCAGTTTTGGTGAAGAGTCTACCACGTTCGGTTTTCAGCGCACCTGCACTTCCTTCTTCATTTTACAATCTCATTTTCACCCTTTGGACTTTTCTTTTTAGGTTGTTAGGGTGCAGGGTACAAACAAAGTAAAATGACACAGACTTATATTCTTCTTTTACTGCAGCATTCTTCACTGTTTTGCAGTTCTAGTGAAGGGTTTCCCACTTTTGCACATTCTTGTACACTCTTTTCAGCGCACCTGCACATTTTTGTCAAGGTGCAAGGTACGTCTAAGTAAGACCCTCACGACAAATAGGACAACTGTTATAAGGATGCGGGCGATGGTAGCAGCCCTCCCGCTGAYCCATAGGACGAAAACCATTCAGGTAAGCAACTTCGTCACAGCAGGAGCCAGGGCGGCTAGCATTAACCATACCTCTGAAGCATGCACGACAGAGGGTATGCCGGTTGCAGGCCATGACGATTGTGGGGCGTTCACCATCACAGTTAAGTGCACATTCACTATAGCGGCCGCAGGCACAGATGGGACATACTGCATCTGGATGTAGAGGATGTTCACAATCCGGATACAGGTGGCATCCCTGCCGACAGCGGGCCCGAACAATTATATGGTTGTAGTGATGTCGACAAGGTCGATGTTTTCCACAACCAAGTGTAACTGTGTCAGTGATCTCACAAAGAAGGAGGTCACAAGGTGTTAGTGCAATATGTGGGGGAATAAAGACTAAAGCAGGCACAGTGACAGACGTGGAGGTAGGCACGGAGACAGACACGGAAACGGGCATGGAGACAGGTGTGGAGGCAGGCACAGAGGTAGCTGTAGAGGAGGGGACGGAAGTACATATGGTAGTGATAGAGTCAGTAATCTGGAAGGAGACAGACACCGAAACAGGCACAGAAACCGGCACAGAAACCGGCACAGAAACAGGCACAGAGACAGGTACAGAGGCAGGCATACAAACAGGCACGGAGGCAGGCACAGAGATAGGCGTAGAGGCGGGCAGGGAAGTACAGGAGGTACCCATAGGGTCAATGACCTGGAACAGTTGCAGGTTAGGGTAATGACGCACGAGATCAAAGATGACAATAATTGTTTGCACCATAGCACCGCCATTCCATAATTCCCAGGAACCAGAGGCACGGACAAGAGCGGTGTAGTGGCCACGAGTATGTAGAATATAGGCACAAACGCGCGAACAGTGGTCCGGGTCGCCACCCGAAGGGGCACGCTGCACATCAAGCCGACGCCTTATCAAAGCAGTCTCCAAAACCAAGACATTGAATCCCCCATGTCGAGTGTAATTACTATCCTGTGGGGGGTGCAAAGACGGGTTATCGCCATATAACTCACGTTCCTGAGCATCAAGATTGGAAGCAATGGCCAAAAAATCAGAGTGAATCGTTGATGCTTAACCACAGTCGGGGTTAAGGTGGATTATCACTTACAGTGTAATCAATTAGGGGATTCTGCAGACTGTTGAGGGTTCAGCCTCCTGATGAGTCGGTGAAACTCCGACGAAACAGTTTGCTACAGCCCCTCGTTTGTTGTCTTCTTCTCCCTCTCTGCCTACGGTTTACCGGGCAGCTCTGTTTGCCTATCTATATATATACAAGTGGACCTGCCGCAGCCACGCTGTGGCGAAGGACGATGACAAAAACATTTTTGCGAAACACCCCGGACATCGGTTGGACCCCATCTTCGCAATGTACCCCTATCAGACACCGTCCAACTTTGCAAAATGCCCCGGTAGTTGCCAACTTTTCGTAGGTGAAATTGCAAAACTCCAAGGCCCAAACGGAGAGGCTGACACTGCGAATTTGCACACGCGGCTGACAGGGGCATAACACAAAGATGTCAGCCCAAAAGGCCATTCCACTGTACCCAGATCTTTCAGGGACATTTTGAAACCTATCTCAACTTACGGGGGTATTTGGCAAATTACCCCCCCCACCCAAAAAAAAGGCCGATGGCATCTTTTCAACATTTGGAGGAAGATATGCCAGTCTTCTCTCTCTCTCTCTCTCTCTCTCTCTCTCTCGTGCGCATGCACACGCACATATTTCCTCCCCCTTGTGCGACCTCCTCGTCCTCCCTCGTGGCCCCCTCCTCCGCTCGCACAAACTCCTCCCCATAGCGTGACCTCCTCCAACCTCTCTTCCGACGTCGTCCTCCCCCTTGCCTGATGTCCTCCTCCCCCTGCAAACCTCCTCCCTACATCCTCTCCCCTCCTCCATGAATTCTCGTTGTCTGCCATGCTTATCGCCCTCCTCCTTTTCGTCCCTCTTTCTCTTTTTGTTCCATCCTCCTCCTCTTTCCTCCATTCTCATCGTCCCCTCGCTCCTCTTTTTCGTTGTTCCTCCTCGTCCTCGCTGCTCCTCATGCTGCCTCCTTTGTTGCGATCGGCCCAAACATGCTTCTCCCTCTTCATCCTCCCTCTTTCTCCCACCCTTCCTGCTCTGAGCGCACATGTGCCACATGCCCCAAATGTCTTTCTCCCTCTTCCTCCTCCCTCCTCCTGCCTTGATCCTCCCTCGTCCATCACATCTTTGAGCAGCCTTCGAATGTACAAAATGAGAAGGAGAGTATGGAGTAGGGGGCTGTGAGATGCAACCCCATCCTGAATCCCCTCCCCCTCCTTCTCCCCCTCCTTCTCCCGCTCCTCCTCCCGCTCCTCCTCCCGCTCCTCCTCCCGCTCCTCCTCCCGCTCCTCCTCTGCCAAACAACGTGACAAAGATCCCACCATAGCCCCGCTCCCGCTCCTTCTCCCACTCCTCCTCCCTCTCCTTCTCCCTCTCCTCCTCCCTCTCCTTCTCCCTCTCCCGCTCCCCCTCTTGCTGCTCCTCCCGCTGCTTCTCCTGCTTTCCCCCCCGTTCCTCCTTCCCCTCCTCCCGCTCCTCTTCCCGCGCCATAGCCCCGATCCCACCATAGCTCCTCTTCAAATTTGGTAAGGAATTCGGATGTAATGCTCAGGCAAATCTTGTTTAATTTATTTTTCTCCATAACATATCTTTTTTGATGATTTTTTTTTTTTTTTTTTTTTTTTTTTGGGTCTGTGTTCGGCCCGAACGGCCGAACGCATCCCCAAGGGGTCCCATACGTTCGGGCGTTCGGCCCGTCCCGAACGCCGGTTACCCTGGTTCAGTTTATTTTTCTGCATAACGTAGTGTTTTTTTTTTTTTTTTTTTTTTGCTGGGACCTTCCCTGCTCCTTGCACGGCCTGGCCACCCGGGACCTGGGCGGCCCGGCTGGTAACCTATATATATATATATATCGTCACAATATGCCACAGCCCCTCGTTTGTTGTCCTCTTCTCCCTCTCTGCTTACTGTTTACCGGGCAGCTCTGTTTGACTATATATACAGGGTAACTGGCTTTTGGGACGGGCCGAACACTCGAACGTCCAGGACCCCTTGGGGATGCGTTCGGCCGTTCGGGCCGAACACAGACCCAAAAAAAAAAAAAAAAAAAAAAAAAAAAAAAAAAAAAAAAAAAAAAGTTATGGAAAAAAAACAAACCACATTTGTCCTAGCATTACATCCAAATTCCTTACCAAATTTGGAATAAAAATAAAATACAGAAAAAAAAACTAA